CGGACAACCCAATAAATACTTCTCTGTGATACTATTTTTTTCTTTGATTTTGGTTTATGAGGAGTGAGGATAACGGGGATTATTGACAAATTGATCTCAATTCGTTTTCACTAAGTGCGGGCTCGCACCACTGTGGAGGGACTCTTCAATTATTCAGCTCCCTCTTCAAAAAGCCCCCGATGCCCTTCTGCTTCTCTCCGTCCGTATGAAAAAAAGACGAGAAAGTATAAAAGTGGCAAGATGAATTAAAAGAACGTGAGAGCTTTGTCAGGAGGTCGAATGGAAGGATTAGATGATTCATTTAGATCAGTTAGAACAGCCAAGTTGTTTCTAATAAAGCGCTAACTTTTAAAGTATTAATTGAAAATTACACAAGAAATTAGTGCCTCAACAAGCTTTTATAAATACGAGCTGTTATAGTGGTTTTATTTTCACATGGTTACAACTTTCTGCTATCAGATAATAACCCACGAAAATAAAAATCAATTAAAATAAATAAGATGATTTATTAAACCGATCTCAAAAAATCCAACTGTTTAAGCTCAACTGTTTCATAATATTAGGCTCATCAATTATCGATATATTTAAGGGAAATGTGTATTGGAGGGTTCTTTATTTGTCCACTACTCCTCATATTGCTTGAAACTTTTACAAAAACCGTCAATTTTCACCGATCCGATAATTAAAAATTGCCCCACTGCTTAGTTAAGTTTCATTAAACTTTACAGAATGGAAAAAGTGAATAGGAATAGTTGCCTGAAAGTTTTATCTTCCAGGGGAATGTATCATTTATTGTACTGAATAATACATTAATATTTCCATAAATCCAAATAATAAATACAAGGTTTATAACTATATTCTTTTTATTTTTCTTAATCGCGAGCAGTTTCACAGCTAGAACACATAATTACATATGAAAAATTTGTCATACACGTTTCAGCAATTCGCCATGTTCAGTATGTCTGTGGGATTTCGATGAAGTTATAAAAAAAGACTTTCTTGAGGGTTCTCCATGCGGTCTGCGGAGTGATGAAGCAATTTAAAATATCTACCAAAGGTACCTTAAAAGATCCTGGACTTAAACACGGCTGGTAGACCAAAATTATGGGTAACGACCAAATTCCAGATTCATAAGCCCGCAGACAACACGGAGACATCTCACTTATTTCATCATTACTTACAAATAGTTTTAAAACTGAACAAATTGGAACACACTATTTACTATTGCTAGAGTAAGAAAAAGGCAATTGTAGTCGTCGCAGTGAAAATAGAATAACCTATTATTATATTATTATTCTATTCTCGATGGTCATCGGTGAGCTATTGTTTTTCAGTACCTTTGGTGGATTAAATAGGGTGTTTTGATTGTTTCATCACTCCACCGCAGATCACACGGAGAAATCTCACGATTGTTTTGTTTTTAACCAAAAATGTTTGGGCTGGATAAAGAAGGAAAAAAATTTCAACATAAGGAGAACTCACTTTTTTTCAGAGTAGACGGTATGAACAAGTGTGGACCACTCACTGTAGGTCTCCTCGCGAGGTTGGGGCCCCAGATGCAAAGACGAACTATGACTCCAAAACGTGTGAAGATAGGATTGGAAATTGCGAAAAAACGTAAAAATCATGGAAAACATTAGGAAGAAAAATTGAACGAAGAAAAACGGGATGTGCTCTCTGGGCGAGTGGATACAAATAAATTAAAAATAGAAAAATTAAACGGAAGTGAGATCGAGAGAAAGTTTTTCGCAGATCTTGACATTAGCACAGAAAGATTGGAACTGACGGAAAAGACGTATGAGAGGTAAAGTACCGCTCTAAAAAGATCAAAATGCAGAGTCCATTTGGCTCTGACCCAAACATACCGCCCACCTAAGTTTTACAGGCAAATTTTCTTGGACTATTTGAAAATAAATAAAATAATCCAAAAATAAGTGTAAAATAAAACTATCAACATTTTTACACAAATATGCACAAAGATCATCGATAGAGACTAGGAGGAGGTTGGTAGGGTGAGAACTCCTCTGATCGTCGATAAATGAGTGACACCATCGGGGAACCAGCATTAATCTCAGTTTCTACCAAGTGCGTGTTGGTTTGTTTTATAAACTTTGCTACATTATGTAATAAATGACTCTCGTCCTTAGATCGTAGGCCGCTCTACAGTAACGCACTATGTATTTTCCAATTTTCACCATTTATGTATCTAATATTTTTTGAGCTGAAGGCTTACTTTCATGAAAAGTTGGTCAATTTGGGACAGATGGCGAGAAATGAAATAAATCTTTTACCACGTAGGGGTCGTTACATAATGGGCAACCCATCTCTCTCCTCGTATGGTTGTCGCTTAAGTTTCAGCGTTGTACTTCTTATTGTCATTATCCAATGGGAGTAAGACAGTAAGAGCTTTGAGTGAAAATAGCATCTATATTTCAACTCAAAATTTAATTCCCAATATAGCGGGTATTTTTCACTTGACCTCACTTCCTCTACAATCCTTCAACGCCATTGAACTACATTTCCCACCCATCAACTTATTATGTAGTTCCAGAAAATTAGGACACTATCAAAAAGCTATATCTAGCTTTTGAGTTTTGCTACAAAAGTTCTCCCATTCTTTAATATCATTTAATTACGTGGGTACTGTGGCCGCTACCACAATGATATAATTTTTTTAACAATAATTTCCATAGGCGTTATTTTTGGGTAACTAGGTTCGGGCATATTCAGTACTTTCACTATGTAATCGTGATTAGATTATGACTCAATATCAAATTCCGGTCGTCTCCATGTAGAGGAAAATGAGATGGTGTCGTAGGATACTTTAAACAGCTTTTTTATAAAGTGTTTAGCAATACCTTCACCTACCTTTACTCTTTTTCTCCTCATACCTGTGCACCAAAGCAGACTATGGATCTGGATATGTACAGAATTCTCTGAACTTGGTTTTAGTACCAAATATGATAATGCTTCATGACGTCCAGATCGCGCCCAACACTTGCTTAACTTCTCACTTATCAAGTTTTTCTTTAATGAGAGTTGTGTTCACTTCAAGTGTGTTTGTTAACCACCTCAGTACTATTTCTTCCCATCGACCATTTTTCACTTCTGGCTCTCTTGCTCTATTCTTTTAGGTATTTATACCACGATTGTGGATTTGCTTAAATTCACTTTTGCACCAAAATCCCACATTTCCATATAATCCGTGATCGGTTTATCATTCGCTGGAGAGAATTGCGCTGTAACGCTAAGTGATGAACGTACGTTGATCGTCGTTTTTCTAATTTGTACACCACCTCAATCCAAAAAGTCCTCTAGATCATTCAGAAAAAGCGAGAATAACTGGGAGCTCAGAAGACATCCCTGTTTCATACTAGTTATTATTTCAAAATCCGCCCTTTTCCATTCCGTTCACCGCACCAAGCCAACATCCATCTCTTATAGCACGTATCATTTTATACTAAAGTCCCAAATTTTCAATCTATACAGGCGGGTCACTCTTGACCGTGTCGATTGCAAAAGAGTGATCACAAAGAAAATATATACTTTCTGCCTTTTTAGCCTAATTCAGTTCAACGAGATTTGTTAAAGTGAACAGATTGTAAATAAACGACTGTTTTGGCTACCGAAAAGCAAGAAAACCTTCAAGCTACTAATTTAATAACCGTTTGTAAAAAATTACTTTTATTTGGTGGTTAATATGATTATTTAAATCGATTGTCTGTTTAATTATTTATCTAATAAATAACCAATTCTTGTAACAGATTTTTTAGTGTCTTTTTTTAGTTTAATTTTCTTTTCAAAAGTCTCCTGTACAAATTAAAGTGTGTCCTTCCAAATACCCTCTAATTAATCCTCCGCTCTCACCTCACAGAGGGGTTCTTTCGGGTCCGACAAGGAGCAGATTACTCCGAATACTTCACTCTAGACGTGGGAGTATCGCAGGGCAGAGTGCTCAGACCAATCCGCTATATCCTTTATACTGCAAATATTCTGCTTAACCTACCACCTTTCTCGCATCTTTTGCCGATGACACAGTTGTACTAACCTCGAACCCCGATCCTGCGGTTGCTTCGGAAGATCTTCAGGAATATATCACATGTATAGTAGATTGTTGTAGACAATGGAAAACGAAGGTAAATTAAAGCAAATGCATCCATGGCACATTTACACTCCGAAGCAAATCTCCTCTCACAATGTACTACAACAACGTTCCTATCCTCAAATCCGACTGCGTACCTTGGGTTCCACCTAGCCTCACACTTAACGTGGACTTAGTATGTACGACTGAAACGACGAGACCTAAAAGAGACGCTCATAGGTCTTATAGACGACAATTCAAGCTATCGACGAAAAACAAACATACAATTTACAAAACGCTACCTCAACCTATTTGGACATACGGAATAGGACTTTGGGGAATCGCTAAGCCTTCCAATACCCAACGTCTCCAAGCCTTTTTCAGTCTAAAGTCCTCAGGTCAATTATAAATGTTCCATTAATGTCTGCAGTACTACTCTCCACTACGACCTTAAAATTCTATTATCCAAAACATAATCCTCAAAGAAATTTCCATAGTCTCGCCCAAGCCTTAACCAACAGAACCCATCCCTAGAATCCCATAAGGCGTCTCAAGAGTAAATAGTCCCGCGACCTACTTTCTGAGGTGTAGGCAGGGAAATTTATTTAGTGAAGTGAAGTGGGAGAATAATATTGATTATTTCCTCCTCTCAATGTAAATGTAAATAGCTGTAAATATATCTATGCTTCATTAAATTGCGTATTGTAATCAACAATTGCAGATTGTAATAAAATATTGAATTATATTTTAAAAAATTCTTTTTGAATTGCACTTTTTTGACGAAGTCGAAGAAAGATTAAATTTTTCTCTAGCTTGTTTTATATCACTTTATTTTTGTCATTTTTGTTAGTTACAGTTTGGCCAAAAATTAGGGAGAGAAACAATTAATTTATTGTGAAAATTATTTTCGTCGTGCAATAATATTTATTCAAAAGTGTACGTTTTTAAAAATAAAATAAAATAAATGAGGAGCCCTTTTTAATAAACTATATAATATGTTATATTATTTAAAAAATAGAATTGGAGAGTAAACTAAAAAATATATGAAATCGTGCCAAATTATATCGTTTCCGTTACGAGTAGCTGAGTTGGTCTTGACGGAAAATTGACCAAACTTTGAGGTCTTTCTAAACGGTTTTAGAAACCGGCCGTGACTGTGTCAGTTTTCGAAAGAATAAACAATATTAGCAGATCTCTCGAGGGTTTAGTTACGCCCCCCTGTCTTGTAATCCGAACAGGCAGGATTCGGAGAAGTTGTTCGCCTTTTATCAAATCGTACACGGCCCAGCAGTAAAGATTCGGTCTCGAGACAGGTTTGACATATTGCCTAGTGAGTGTTTCTCACCTGGCAGTCGTTTCCCTTCTATTTCGGATCTTTTACCAGCCGGACAGTGATGTGGGAGGCGGCGATGATCGCGGTCTTTCTCCTCCAATTCGCAGCAACCGCGAACAATCTGGGCTCCAAAGAGTTCACGAACAATGTCACAGATACCCTCAACGGCCTACTTCTAGCCAATAACTACGATAAGAAAATACGACCAGATTTCGGAGGTAGGTTCATCCTGCTTGCGGCATGCCGAAAGTAGATTAGGATTAAGAAACTAAATATTTTAACAAATCGAAGATATTCTTTGCTGTTATAAAAATATGTCATTTATATAGAAGAATGTAAATATTTCATTACTTTTAACTATTTAAAAAACCATCTTCTTCAAAAATGAATCTGATCTCATTTATTCTGTCTTTTCTTGAAAGAAACAAGTGTTAAATTTCTCAACTAACAATTAGTTATTTTTTAAGCTTAAATAAATGTATGACAAAGCGGATAGTTTATTGTATACGAGAGCAAGATTGTATATTTTAGCAGTATAAATCTTGGCAAAGAGAGAGACTCTCGCGTCCTAATTAATTCAATCAAATATAAACATTTTAAATATATTAAATTCTGGTACGAACGATTGGAACAAGCATGTGTTAGCTGAATTAGAATTGTCGTAGATGATACACGGCGAAATGGAACGTGGCCAATCTTCGTGTTTAAAACTACGTAGCGTCAAAATCGTTTGTCGCGGAAAGAGAACAATTTTTCCCGTCTGGGACAGTTGATGATGGCGTGTCGGTCTTTAATTTTAACACTGTTTTGAAATAATCCTATTAATGTACGATAAATATTCGAGCAATGGGTATTAACAATTTTTATTTTGGCGGATAAATATGGTGGCTCCACTTCCTCAGGAATCGTTACAACTGGGTAACTTTTACAAAAAAAATTACTGTTTAACGAAAAATATTTATTCTTATTTTTTAAATAATATTAGATATGAAAAATGAAATAATTTTTATTTTGTAACATAATCATTTTATCTGTATTTTTCTTTAAATTGCCAATTACAATATAAAGCTATTTAACACCGTTAGATTTAAACAGATAGAGATTCAAATCGTAACTGGAAAAAAAAAGATAAAAAATATCTTTTTACAAAAAATATTTTATTTTTCATAATTAATTAATTTTATCGATTAACTTTGTGCAGCATGGAAATCAAAGCTTTCTTTTCAGCCAACTCACACCCAAATTAGGGACAAATGATCAATAAACTTTTAACGGCTTAAACGATAAATTGTAAGGGTTGGCTAGATAAACTGATGTGCTTTAAAACATTTGTTTATGTTATTATATCCGTCCTCATCTTGAAAATTTAGAAAACAATGTCCAGTTAATTTTGATGGTTTTGATAATTGGTGTGTTAAAATCGTCTTCCCACCTAACGTTCATCTCAAAATTCGGTCTTTTCGTCAAGAAATAATTTCTATAGTGGTAATGTGACGAAAAATATTTATCCGTATGATTGTTTTTGGGGTTGAGTGTCGAATAAATTAATTATTTTCGTATCAATAACAGGTCCACCTACTTTGGTTACAGTCAACATGCACATCAAAAGTTTGGGCCCTGTCGTAGAAGACGCTGCTGTAAGTCTAGATAATGTTTTTAGAGTTATGCTTCGACTGATCGCTCCTTACGAACACAGATGTACACCATGGACGTGTATTTCCGTCAGTCGTGGTACGACCGGAGGCTCAAGTTCACCTTACCCGGTATCTCTGAGTTGTCCATGTCCTGGCTGTTCCTCGAGAAGATCTGGAAACCGGACACTTACTTTCTCAACGGAAAGAAATCCCATCTTCATAGGATCACCAGCCCGAACAAGTTCGTGAGGATGAGACACGACGGCCACCTCACATATTCCATGAGGCAAGCATCAAACACGGTAGATATTTTGCTTTATTTGGTAATTTAATATGTCGTCGTTAACGTTCAATATCTATCTACTAATACAACTATATTACAGACAACACACTTATGATTTTTATAATTAAATTTGTAATTACAGACGAATATTTGTATCAAGCTTACAAAAAAAGAAAACATACAAAAGTTCAGCGTTTTATTGATTTATCTAACTAAAAATTAACGCGGCAATAAACTCAAAATACACGTAATTGCTATGCTCAGCCAGTTAAAAAATTTCATGACTCTCTTGACATGAATTCCAAACTAACTTCTTTATAAAATATAAACGACGCCTAGAACGTGCAAACTGTCAGGAATAGCGTTTTATAAACTTATATATTTAGAAATGGTAGGATTTTAATCTTCAACCGAAAACTGGTATGAAAAACGAATATTGACCACACCTACTCATCTAATTTGTAATTTGGCCACGCCCAGTTTATTAAGAAATTTAACAATCTAAAGTTATGACAAAATTGTATATATTTTCGTTTATACAAAAACTTATTTGTCCTTCCCTGGTCTTTCTCAAACATTGCTCGCTATGAATGTACGCTATGTGCTTTAATTGCTGTACAAAATTTAAAAAAACAATCCTTTCAATATTATGAAGACGTTTGGGAAAAAGCATTTATCAGGAAAATAACTCAACCTAATTTCTGTAATAATCATGGAACTTATCTGAATAAACGTATCCTATTAAATTAAATGATTAACGTAAGAAATTTAAATTCACGTCTTATGGCGAAAGGTAACAAGATTCATTTAAAATCAGACTAAAATGGTTGTAAATGTGATAATGGGTAAGCGCCTGTTTTTCGGACAAACAGCTGGTTTTTATATTTTTTCCTTGTCAGGAGAGTAGGAGCTTTATTTTTAAGCATCAAACTCTAGAATGTTACTGCTAAATTTTGCCATTTAGTGGCGTCGGTGTTCGCAACGGTTAAAGCTTCGAAACGGCGACTAATCATTGTAAGCGTCCTGGGTTCGAATCTCAGCGGCCTTGAATTCAAATCCAACATACAAATGGGGTGTTTTTCAAAAACACCGGCACTCCGAGGGTTCATATAACCTCGTAGGTGAAATACCTTCGTAAAAAATGTTTCTGTATTTCAGCAATTTTTCTCGGTCATTTAGTTCTTCAACTAGAAGCTTAAAATTTGCCGTTTTTGATACTATCTCTCTATTATATTTATACGGAAAAAAAATTTCACTACTCTAGAGTATCATTTTTATATTGCTCCATTTGATTCTGTGCTCCAAACCTTTTAAAAAGTATCTTTTTAATATAATGAAGACATTGAAGAAAAAGTACACCTTGTCAGAAAAAACGATTGGACTCAAATTTTCCCTTTGCGGTCCAGTTTAAGCCCAGAACACTTTATATACCGATTCCTTCTTCAGTGGTATGTCAAGATAAGCTTGCAATTCTTCGTTCAGTCCATAAAAAGGTATGGTGTTAGAAAAAAAAGAACAAAGCTTCTCCTAAACCTTAAAAAAATACTGAGGTCAAATAGTCAAATAGAAGTCTAAAAACATCACTAATCCTGGATCACCTTACAGTACAAAACTTTAAATTTACCTTGGATCTGTCTACTGGACCGTGCCAAGGTGGGATGGATAAACTTCACAAGTTAACAGACAAGGACTTATCCCCTTCCGTGTCCAGACCCCGACCAAGAGACGGACTGGGAACTTGACCAAAGATAGCAGCTTGATAGGATTCCTCTTGCAGTGAGAATGACGATAAATCCGATCGCTTATTTAATGATACCTAGAGACTTAAGATCCTTTGCGAGACCAGTGGAGGTAATTCGCGTCATTAAGAGTAAAACTACGTAATAAATTGTTAGTTAAATTGTAATATATCAATCTTCTTTCAAACCATCATAATTAATTTTTTTGTTAAAATTCGTAAATTTCTGATCCCAATTAATTTTATTTACATTAACATAAGTATTTTGTAATTAATATAATGATAAAGATACATATCTTATCATAAAATAAATCACAAAATACAAATGTCGGTTTTTTTGTTTTTCTTTTCTTTAGAGGGTTCGCAAAAGCAGAGGTTATATCAATGCGGGGTGCCGGTGTTTTTGAAAAAAAAGCCAATTTGTAAGTATTGTAGGATTCAAATGCAGGGCCGCTGGATTCGAACCCGGGACCTTTCAGTCCCCAATACTGCCGTGGTGGATTCACTAAAAAATACGTAGTTCAGTGCCACCAGAACGAATTTTCTATCCTCATTTTTGTAATTAGCCCAAAATCGGATTTTTTTTTTTGCATAAAATCGTAATTTCTCAACTTTAGTGACATTAAAATACACATCTTTATTTCGCAAATTAGATTAAATTTTCTACAAGATAACCACATTTTCGTTAAAAAAATTCGCACTTCCGAATACACAGTAGCATCTCAAAGAATAACCAAAGACAAAACCCATATTTTTTTGAAAATACTCAATTGGGGTTCGTGCAATGACTTATCCATCGAAATTTTCGGAGATTTCACCAAAGTTGTCTTATTTTAGAAGTATTCAGACATACTCACTTTCACATTTTTTAGAACTTTTCTTAGTGAAGTCTACTTTGCAATGTTGAAAAAGTGTACAGAACCCAAGGAGAGCAGCAACCCAAGAACATCGTACGTGTCATATTTTAAATAAAAACATTTATTAGTTGGTATAAATTACATATCAAAACAAATATAATGTATAGTAACATACATACGCATAATTTGATCCAAGAATATCAAAGAAAATTACTCATTACTTTCTTTTTTTATTATATTTCACATAAAAATGTTTAATCTTTAAATATCTGGAGGCCCGATTCCAGAAATACTCTGAGTTAATAAGATTTTCTTAATCAAGATTAAATTTACCAGTTAGCGCAAAAATAAATAATGTTTTTAAATCAGTTGATAATATTTTCCGCATTCGTGCTGATTATACTTTTTTATTGGTAATATTGAAGTTTATCTTATTTGCCAAAAAGTATTTATTGTAATGAAGCAGACAACACAACAGACAAAATAATAGAAGTATATCGGTCTGGCAAAGCTGAACAACGCGCATTGAACGTTGACAACGAGTTTAGGAAGTTAAGTCGCAGACATTGTCCGAACCCAACTTTGCACAACTTATAATTAAACTCCATTATTAACGCTGACTTTGTTCAGCGTGAGTCATCATCATTGAGGCAGAAATACCATGTTCCCTTTTTAAACCAGGTTTCCTTTTCCAGGTTGACGCTCTCGGCGACCTGCAAAATGCATCTGAAAAAATTCCCACTCGACTCTCAGGTCTGCCCCCTCGTCATCGGAAGCTGTGAGTAACACTGAAAGACAAACTAAGAGGTGAAATGTTTGAAAAATATGCTTTTTATCCTGGGCTCGGATTTTGAGGAGAGAACAAAATATCACAGTCGCCCACTCAAACTTAGTAAATATAGTTGTCGCCTCTGGAGCCAAATCAGATATGACTTGAGAAACGGTTACTTCTCATTTGAAACGCTTCTTTTCAACTCGTATTCGATCCCGTTTTAAATTAAACACAAATTAAAAAAATAATAATAAAATAGAATTACAATTTTTTCACATAATTATTCAACTAACGGAGGAAACATACTTGACTGTTGCAACAACAACAAAATTTAATCCAAAGACAATCCAGAAATCATATTTTCATGACAATTGTAACATTTATCAAACAATAGGAACATGTTCCTTTGAAATCTGCAGCTCTTATAACTTTTATTATCTTTTTTTATTTTTAATTCGTTTTGATTGGTAGGTGACCAATTAGGGTTCAAAATTTTTTTTTAACAAATGCTTGATCTTTTCTTTTTATACTTTGTTTTCTTTATTAGACGGTTATACTTCGAAAGATATGGTGTATAGTTGGTCAGGGAGCGGTGTGGGCCTTGAACCTGGTGTGGAAATGGCACAGTACCTTATCGTTAATATATCGACAAACGGGCACGTTTTTGCTGTAAGATCAACCGGTAGCAAAGTTAACAACACAGGTAACTTTTTTTGTAATTCACATTTATGGTATTTTAATAGAGGTTGTGTCTATTTTCCAGAAATATACTCTGTAGTGCAAGCTTATTTCTTCTTGAAACGCTCTATAGGATATTACGTTCTGCAGATCTACGTCCCTTGTACACTGATTGTCTGCTGTTCTTGGATTTCGTTTTGGATCACGCCTTCCGACGTGGCGGGCCGGACTTCATTGGGTAGGGCTTGACATGTAGCCAATTTTTAAATCTTTTATAAAGTCAAACGTTTCAGCTGTGACCACGGTTTTGTCTATAACGACTCTCGGATTCGGTGGAAGGTCTCAGTTGCCAAAAGTCGGTCACGCTACCGCCCTCGATTGGTATGTTATCATCTGTTTCGCTTTCGCCTTCGCCGTAATGATTGAATACGCCGTTATTAATTTCACGGACAAACTGGCCAAAGACATCAAAAAACTCCTCGAAGAAAAGAAACTGAAGGAGCAGAAAGAAAAGGTGACTTTAAACACTGATATCATATCGACTGCAATGGAAAGATTTTTTTTCTTTTGCAGGAAACTGAGGCTAAAGTTGAAGATAATCATGAACCAATAGAGTTTGTAGACGAAGGGGAAAATTTGGAAGAACTTTTACAGCCAAAATACGTATTTAGACCAAACAGATGGTACTCACTTCCTGGCGATTTACACGAACGAAATTTAAGGTATTCAATTATGATTTTTATTCAATCTCCTCGAAAAATACAATAAATAGACATTAGTATCATAATCAATCGGAATTAAAATTGGTAAGAGGGAGATGGTAAATTATGAAAAATGGTAACCATGGACAAACTTTATGTGTGCGAGTGTATATATATTGTATATATGTCTACTGCACCATCTCCCTCTTACCATTTTAATGCCAACTGATTAAAGCACTAATGTCCATTTATTGTATTTTTTCGAGGATATATATATAATAATAATTAATTTATATATATTATATACACATATATATATGTCCTATTAACCAAAGTAATTATTTTAATTGATTTATTATTTTTTGTGCAAAATTAGTGTCTGACCGGAGTACTGGATCCGGATGTCGTGGGTTCGAGATCCGCTCGTGACATTAGTTTTGAATTCAACCTTGCATAAAAATAATATATAATTAAAACAAATATTAACCTCACGTTACGATAATAGTCAAGATTATCTATATCCATGCTTATTTTAACAAACCTTATTCCAAGTTTATTACATTGATATGAATTATTATATATTTTTGAAAGAAGGTAAGTAAAACAAATATTTGTGTTTGGACGAGAAATTTGACAAAATTTATTAAATATTTAATTGACAAAAACACGGATTTTAGTAAAATAATGTGTCCATGTCTGCTAGATGATGACCTTATTGTTTGATGGTCTCACACCAGAAGTACAAGTGCCTGCACAATCCCTTTCCCCTATACTTTTGACTAGAGGACAATATAGCTTGGAACGACAAAAAAACACAGAACAACCGCTCAAGATTGAAAAACGTCTTAACACGTCAAACCACCGAGGAACTAAGTTGACCATCAAACTGGTCTTTGATCTTACTGGTCAGCCTAGTTCCACCGGTTTTATCTATCAAAAGTGTGTTGACATGTTGTCCTGCAGTGATTGGTCTGTGTGTTATTTTGTCAGGTCATGATTGTCATATAACCAAACAGATCTTTTTAAAGTCAGGACTAACAAAACAATAAAAGCTCAACCACTGAAGGTAGGGAAATGTTAAAAATTTTCTGACAGACACCCCAAGGACGAAAATAGTCTAATAGTAACCAAGGGAAATAGATGAATAGTAAATTGCTTTTAAATTATCGGTAAGGAAAAGTTAACCAGATATATGTATATGCAGTTGCACTTTTTGAGAACAAGAAACATGCATTTGAGTTTCCATAAACGAAAACATCCAAAATTTAACAGTATTTGTATGGAAACGTTGATTTTTTGCTGTACGCTTCATAATCGTGTATATGTAATACTTTATTTGTTTATGATATTTGTATTTTAGGGAAGTCGTGTATGACATTGTCGAATCGCCTCCAGGGTCGATGGAGTCTCCTCTCCCATGGTTCCAGCAGAAGCTGAAGGCGACGATCCGATTCTGGAAGGAAGTACACTTCATCCCGCAGAATATGACGATCGAGGCGGAGCAGAAGTTCCACAAAGTCGACATGTTCGCACGGAGGGCTTTCCCGTTGGCTTTCGTGTCGCTGGCTTCGATTTACGCTCTGCTGTACACTTACTACATCACTGACAAAGATGACGAAAACGACGAGTCCATCATCGGTGTCGTCCTGGCCAAATCGGATCAAAAACCTTTATGATTTTGTTTTGTATTTTTTTAAATAAACTTTAATTCATGTTTTTCAAATGACTAACTTTAATCTAACTTTATTTCAAACTTTATGCCAAACAAGCCATGGGCCATCTTGGCATGTCCTAGTCTCATCGGCTCACTTCTAATTCTGATTCGTTTTACATAAGTGACATTATTATACATAAAGTTTCTTTTTACAATTAAATATAACAATAAAAAAATCCAAGCATCGTTTTCTAAAATAGTCCACAATATGATTACAAATAAAAATTGAGAGTATATTACCATCTGCGTGAATTTAACCAAGGGATTTGGAGAAAACAAAATCAAGAAAAAAAAAGAATTATTTGTTAAATCGCAGTGAAAAAACAAGCGTTGAAACATTAGGTTAGAAAAGCTTTAATGACCAATTTTTGACAAATATGAACATGCAATTTGAAAATACTGACCAATATGATCTGCTTATCCTCATCCTAGGTTGTCTCTGTGTGATTTCTGCGACCGTTCAGACCCCAAGAGAAATCTCAAGAAAAATCAAGTGTCTTATGTCAATAAAATTCTCTACTTTTTCAAAATTTTACTATCTCATCCATTATTAATTATCTTTTTATTTTTAATTAACAATTTTATTGCATGTAGGTTAAAAATGCGCTTTATTGCGGGAACAACTTTCAGATGGTTGCTAAATCTGTTAAAAACCTTGGGTTGTATTGAATAAATTTTAACACCTTTGAAGTATACACATATACTTAAAAAATCTGGATAACTATTCTTATTGGGATGATAGAATAAGGTCAAAGTCACACTGCATTTAGTGATCTGATGACCTCCCAACCTGTCTTCTATTTGTACATTTTTTACGACAAAACAAATAATTTTAACTGAGTTGCAACTGTTTATTTTCAAACGATATGAAACGTAGGGAATCGTGATGAACGGGTTTTGACGTTTGACCAATTGGACAATATATTGAATTTGAGGTAAGAAGATTGAATGTGATCGCCTTGACTAAAGCCGGCGAGGAGTCATACCTGATTTATTTCCGTCATTTTGAACCTATCGATCTAAAAATACAAACAATGACCAATTACTATTTACAATTTTATCAAATGGTTCATCCAAAATGAAATGTTTTTGGGCTCTAAGTCTGAAGAATAACAACAAAAATGAAAACGTCATATCTATCTTGAAAAAAAAAAATTATATATTTATTTAGTAAATATACAGTATTATCAATCATTTGGTCTGTCTATCCTCGCTGATTTTTTGCCAGACAGGCAATATTCAATATGATAAAGCGTTATTTCACCTCACAATACAGAAAAACGAGAAAAATATAAATACAGAAAACTAGCTAATTCAAAGTAAGCAATTTTAGTTTACAAAAATCGTATCTCATGTTAAACTAGGACTTATAAAAAATGATAACGACTATTAGTAATAAGACTAATTTGGTTGAAGTACAAAAATGGCTTCTCGGAAAAATTCTGAACTGATAAAACAGAACGTCAAGGTTGCGTAATGAGCCCACTGATTTTCTTATTGTTCCACGACGACTTTAAATCTTAAATGAGGAGCAAATATAAATAAAATAAACATTGCAATAGTCTTTTGATAATTTAACTATCCAAAACGTTATTGAAAATAAAACGTTAGTGTCACGAGCGGGATTAGAACCCACGACTTTCCGCTCAATACGCCGCTGCTCTAACTTCCATGGGAAGTCACGATAGCTCATGTGGTTTGAGCCGAAGGTCGTGGGTTCGAATCCCGCTCGTGGCATTAACTTTTTCATTTCAACCAAGACCTTACATAAAAAGTTAACAATTAAATAATTGAAATAAGTAATTTGGACTTTCGGATCACTAAATTTAATGGTTTATTGAAAAGGTTCCACAATTATTTGGGAAAAATTTGGCAAAATTTCAGGTTTGGTGACAAACTTTAGAAAAAATGAAAACTACTGTTACGACACCATCAAATATTTACACACACCTGGGGTACAACACACTAAACAATAACTGCAAAAAAAAGCACACGATAATGTTATATAATAATATTGTAAAAATAATCTATATATTTGCTGTAAACTTGATAACTTCTTTTTATGAGATCTTCTCTTATAACTTTAATTTCATTATCATAAGACAAACAGAGAAAAAAATTTACAAAATATATTTTGAATGAATAATTCGTCAACTGCAGGCTCCGCAAACATATGCGCCACGATTATCTGTCTAAATAATGATCAATTGAGACTTGAAAATTCCGAGGTTGTTGGTGATTAAAAATTAAATACACCGAACTTAAAATGTTTTCTTTTCTTTTAGGATTGTGTCTATCCCACTCGTGACACTAACGTTTTCTTTTCAATAATGTTTTTGTAATAAAATAAATTATTCTTTATGTGTAAGAGGTTGAGATAAATGTCACGAGCGGGATTCGAACCCACGACCTTCTGCTAAATATGCTGCTGCTCTACCATTTGAGCTATCGTGACTTCGATCCTCTCGGGCACCAACTCTCCATCTCAACCTACAGCCGTTCGAATTTTCTCTCTTTTTGCCATTTTCAGATGTCGTGTAATCAGGATTGTATTCTCAGCGACTTATGAAGTGGCCACGGGGAGCTGTTTAGTGAAGTGATACTTCTTTTACTTATTAAATATTAATCTACTTACATTTTAGTGGTCAATTGACCAAGTTACTTATTTCAATTAATTATGTCTAGGTTTTGGTTGAGATAAATGTTTGCGATGATTTCACATTTCAAAATGGCAAAAGAGGAAAAATTCGAACAGTTGTAAGTTGCGGTGGGCATAAGGTTCCCGCATACTTGGTCATCCTAAAAAGGACTCTGAGGATCTTTAACGTCCGCACCTAGCCGATTCGGCCTTATCGGATGTTTTGATTCTCAAGATGAGAGCTGACGCACCTCCGCATACGACAGGATTGTGTTACTGCCGCAGCAGGTTGGTGTAGAGGCAGCTCAGACCCGAAGGGCCAAAACAACCTCGCTCCCCGCTTGTCCATTCCAAGTGGCCGGGCCTGCATTGAGCATCAGACCATATGCCGCGCGCAGGTTTTATGCTACCTAAGCTGAAATACACCAGCCCGGTCTTCCGCGCGCTCCCTCGACAGAGAAGGCGACACTATCTCCCAGAGTCTTGGGGCTTCTCCAGCGTTTTGGCTCCGGCCGCGGTTTCGTTTAAAGTGGAATTTCTAACCACCCCCTAGAGGAGCACCGACTACGGTAAATCCTCCTACCGAGCTCAGCCTAACACCTACGTGCAAAGCATACTCGAGTAGGAGCAACCGATTCACTACCCGTTCCCATCCACCACTCCCCACGCATTCGAGGGACTTTCCAGCACAATCATCGCGTCCTCATCGCCTACGTGCTGCCGTCCGATCCGCCGTATCCCGAGAGGCCGGGTGATTAACGGTGGTCATACGCAAGTTTCGAGCGAAGGTCACAGGTAGAAGACAGGCTCTTCTCTAAGTTCCCGCCAGGGGCGTCACTTCAAGCCACCACGAATCCATTCCCAGTGTAACATGGGCTGAATTTTGGAACATTTCTGTTACACCGTGGTATAGATGGTCATGCACGCTCCCCCGTCTATGCAGACAGGATCTGGTACACTGATCCTCGTGTTCCTCTGATAAGGCACCCGCCGCTCCATGCCGACCCAAGGCCGACACGAGTACAGCTTGTGCCTTAGAGAGGTTGCCACGCCCTCTGGGCTGCACCATTATTTTGCACCTGGACACTCCCCCTTGTGACCAAGGGTTGGGAGGGGATCACAGGAGAGAATGAAGGAACCTGGACTGAGAAAGGGCCGTGGATGAGGACTCGAGGTGAGCCGTTTCGGGGTCTCGCGCCTCAACCACATTATACCACCCGTCGTCGCCATAGTTCCACATTGAGTGGGCTATAACTCCTAGGGTGGATGTGGTTGAGGTGGACAGTTTTTGTCCGAGAGGATCGAAGTAGCGATAGCACAAGTGATAGAGTAGCGGCGTATTTAGCCGAAGGTCGTGGGTTTGAATCCCGCTCGTGATACTGTCTTTTTTATCTCAACCAAGACCCCACATACAAAGAGTAATTAATTGAACGAAGTAACTTGGTCAAATTGGCCACTAAAACATAAATAGGTAAATAAAATAATTTACTTTTAGTTAAAAAATGTAATATTATATGCGCTTTTTGATTCAATATTTCTAATTGTCTGTTCTTTCTAATTGATAATTGCACTCGAATGAAATGTTGATGATTGTCATTAAGTACACTTATTAATCTTTCCTTCAGTCTTTATCTATGTTAATTTTATCTTTGATGAGAATAAAAACTTTCCTCAACATGTAAGAATATAATAAATTAACACAATTGCTTAAAATTTTCAAATCTAGACCATTTGGCATACCCTAAACTGTTGTTTATTGACGACATGCCTAAATTTTTTAATAATTTAAAAAATAAAACAAGGGTCGAAAAAGACTTTATACTACTGTGTAAAGGGTTCCATTTCACCGTCATTATTAATATCGGATTTAAAAAGAACGGCCGATGGATCGGCCGCAGTGGGCTACTTGACGTGAAGGACAACTCAAGGGACGACTCTTACATAAAGGCGTGATGGTAGGGGGCTGACACCACTCCGCAAAGGTTCCATTCTCATTACAAACGAAAATTATTCACTTCAAAAATTATAACCACAAAGGAACTGTTTTGTGAAATTATTTAATACATATTTTCTTACGGTGCTCTTCTTAATTTTATAGAATTTTAAAATGCAATTCGTATTTTTTCGCTTTCTTCTGAAGGAGTGCGGTTTAAACAAGTAAAAGATAACGTACAGACGAAAAGATCAATGGACAGGTGAGGTTAAGAAGCATTATGTTTTTCATTCAGAATCAATGTAACATGAACTGTCACTCATTTTCCCCTTTTCTTAGTACAAAAGCGTAAAAGTACTGAAAAAATAGCACCACTGAACAACCACTAAGAATGGTGAGACTGACAGACAAATCTAACTAGACAGTCAGGCACCTCG